GACAAAACTATATAATTATTGAGTTATCTCTTATTATATTATATATTACTAATATAATATTATGCAATCATTTTTCAAAATACTTTCTCATTTGGTAAATTTTTAACGGTCAACTTAGTAAGGCCAAAGTTAATATGAGAATAAAAGATTACAAAGTAAGACTTGTGAAGAGGAAATCTAACACGATATTTTGTTACTGGTCAGCATGCTTTGATGCTTGAGTTAATAGTTATATTGAACTAGTTGAGCGAGTTTAGGTAGGATTAGAATTATGATATGACATGGATTCTCATATTTATAGCCATAAATCATTGTAGGAATAATTTAGCATCCTTCAAGTCTAATATACGTCCATATATACCTTCTATAATAGGAACACGTCCGCCTACCTATTAGATTGTCAATTGTATAAAAACTCATCGAGATCCTTACATCCCACACAACAACATCTGTCATGGATAGTATTAGTATTGTTTTAAGCATGTAACATTACAAATTACTTTTTGCATCTAAATACTTTAATTAAATTTCTCATTTAGTTTTTGTTATATATTTATGATTTATCAATAATCAAAGGCAAAAGTCCAAAATCTTTTAAGTGGCCGCGTCCCTACTTGGCAATGGCAGCATGTGTTTTTTTCGAATTATTATGAATATTGCATGCATAATAAGTAAGCAAATATTTATTATAGAGAATAATGTTTCAAAAGGAATGGACAGCAACTTTTCTTCTTTTCTTCTTAAGGGAACGTTCTAACTTTAAGGGAAAAAAAAAAAAACTAAACTCAACAACCAAGCTTCACAACATGCAAGGAAATAAAACATCTTCAACCTCGCAAAGGCATTGTAGAGAAGAAGGAACTTCAACAACCCATTAGCATCTTTCTCTACTACCCATTGCATCAAAGGAGGAGCGATTCAGTTCAAATTTATTCTACCGTGAAAGAATTTTTATTCATCAAATCTCCTATTGATTATTATTATTTTTTTTCTTTGGACAGAGGTAATAGTCGGATGCCATTGTACCATATGAGGATAATTAATATGTTTAAATTTGTTATGGATGAGAAAATCTCAATTTTCTACGATTCAAATTCCGAATTCAAAATGGAAGATTGATGTTCTTATGATTCATGAAAGATATCTTATATTCAAAAGGAGAAGATATCCTGATTATCTTAAGATTGTCTCTAGATTCAGATGACCAGATTTCGTAGATGTATTAGGATTCGAATTCCACAATAACCCTAAAGGTAGGCTCACAAAATTCTACAATTTATATTCAACTACCCCGATTCGCATCGGAGCCCTGTGTGACAAGAGCCACACCGATCTTTAATACTATTCTATTTTGCAAGTCTTGTCGATCTATTTTACTATAGAAGATGTGTGCGAATTTGACGAAATCCTAGGAGGCCAAATTGGTGCATCAACAAAATTATATTAATATCATTAATGTATCGTTGTTATTCTAATTAATATGAAAAAAAGTTAATTAGCTATCCGTACCTAATTATGACGGGAGGGGGACTTTGGGCCAGACCTTCCACTTTGTTGAAGGTCTGGATCGACCCAATCTAATCTACAAGCAAACTTGAGGATTTCGGGACATGAGAGAAATGTATATTTCTTTTGGGGCAATCACATTTAGGTGAAATAAGTTTAATTAATTATCAGTATAGCAACAACATGATGATTTTATAATTATATATTAAAAAATTGGTAAATTGGTTTTTTTAAGGACAAATTGGTAAATTGGTAAACTAGGATGTACCACGTATTGGATAAAGAATAATCATCTCATGTGATATTTGTCTCTTATCTCGAAAATAATTAGTGGTAGACCCATTAAGTTCGATCAACGCAGTATCAAACAATTTGGTCTAACCGAGGATGACCTTGAAAAAGCTAGCTAGACACTGAGGTACCCTGCTCAAGAGATTATAACCATGTAATGAACTCCTAGAATGAGTATGTAGAATCCACTACATGTCATCTATAAATAAGAGCACATTTCATACACATGTACGCTGATTTGATTCCTCGTTAGAGCATTAGAGTGTTGATAGACCATTGCTCAGCCCTAACAATGATAAACGTCTACCAATCATATAGTCTATCACAATAAGTGAAAAATATGAGGATAAAAAATAATTACGTAAAAATGTCTAAATAGGTAAAATTTAATACAGATCATCATATATGCATAACCATATAATATATTGCTGCATTTGCAAATTGTCATCCATTGAAAATCTCCTATTTTTCTATGTTTATTTCTAAGTAAAAAATTGAAGTCGGGAACTGGGGGATGTGCTTAAAAGTGTTTTTGAAATAAACATTTTTAAGTCCTACTGTAAAGTGTAGTCGAGAGTTTATTGATAGAGAAAAGCATGAGAAGTGTGAAAATTTAGAGAGAATGAGAAACAATGATGTGGAGAGAATTTGCCAGTATGGATTAGAAAAACATCACATTTATAGCAATTGGAGTTCACTTTTTGAAAGAAAAGAGATTCATCAAATGAGATTAAAGTAAAAAACATATTTTGGAAAAATAATACATGATGCAGAAAAAGTAGTACACATCATTCACTAAACAATAAACACAAAGAAAGAAAAGTTAAAATAGTAGCAAAGTGTAACAAAAATTGCAGGAGTTGGAGAGAGAATTTAGAAATAGACAAAGGAGGGGGGCATTGGCATTTGGAAGGGGTGGGGATGTTTAATTGAAGTCATATGATTTTTGTATCTTATAGACAATAACAGAGAAGAGACATTGCACATGTACAAGGGGAATATACCCAAAATAAATTACTTTGTTTTAAAACGTTCACACACCCAAACGAGCCATCAAAACTATATATTAAAAATGAAAGTGAATTGTATTATGGGTGCTCAAAGTTATTTGTTTAACCCTCCCTGGTATTATTATTATTATTTAGGCTAATTGGGTTTTCCTTTTCTTAAGTCCTCTAGTTATTTCAGGGTTCCAATAGGCTCATACCTTTTTATTCCTTAATTTGTTGCCAAGATTTTTTAGACTTAATTTTTAGTAGTTTTTGTTCCGTGAAAAAATTTTATTACGTTATCATATGAACTCTTTTCTCTCTCTCTCTCTCTCTCTCTCTCTCTCTCTCTCTCTCTCTCTTTGGGACAAATTTAGCAATAATTTTATATATAAGAAACAAATAAATTTGAGTTTTTAGTTGGATGAGAGCCAATATTAATATGCCTTGTTTTTTTTTAGTTCAACTACCTTTGATGGTTCATAATTGGTCATCAATGTTAAAAGGACTTTTTAGTAAATATTCCAAGATATTTACCTACAAAAAAATGCTCTAGGAAACATGGACAAACGCTGATGGTGATTGATGATGGTATATATGTTGGGTAGCCATGTCAATTTTAGCTCTGGTCCGTATTGTTTTAGAATTTGATCTGAGCTATGCTCGCTTTAGCATAATTTGATCGTTTACTTAGGACATGTTCCCAAAATTTATTTTTTGGATTCAGCGAATATTTGTTTTGATAGATTCGTTTCTTGATAACTATTTTTGGATTCTATAATCTAAATTGTAGAAGTTATATCATTTTTTGTTGTGTTTTTTATGTTTTCATATTTTTAATTTTAAACTTTAAAATGTATAAAATTACATTAAAAAATAAATTTTTAATTAATATATTATCTTAGATTAAATTAAATATTCAATGACTAACTCCTCCTCATTTAAAAATATATTACTAAACACAAATTTTACAATTGGTTACCAAATACATATCTAAAAATATTAAAAAACATGAATCCAACTCTATYTTTCATTAAATTCTTAGTATTTAGATTTCTGTTTACAACGAACCAAACTCACCCTTAAGCTCTAAACTTCGTTATTTAATTATTTTTTGAGTATACCAAAGGTAGGATGTAGAGATTTGAACATTCGATTTCAAAAGGAGTAAGTGTCTTTATCGTTGGACTATATTCATATTAACAAACTTCTGGGTTATAAGATCATGTTATCTCAAATTACTCAATAATATATAGTAGCTAGCCATAGAATAAAGACCAAATACGATTTATGGTAGTATCAAAGATGAAGTCAAAATTGATCCCCTCTTAATGTATCTTGAAGGCATATATATATAATATTTGGGATAGTTTTTATCCCTCCTCTAATTTTAAGAAAATTTATGTATCCGACTTTATGTACTGTTATATATAAAAAAATTACATTATGGATCATATTAAATCAAAAGATGTGCAAGTATATTGACATGCCTAAGTTCGTAAGATGTCAAGATAAAATTAAAAGG